AAAAACTTATTTGACAAATATTTTGACTATAATGTTTATAGAGGATGGTATTGATTCTTTTTGATTTGCCAATTTAAAAATATCTTTTATTTTATTTTTTTCATTTTCCAAGAAAATTTTGTAGGGACAATATGTTTTCTCCTTTCTCCTGGGACAAATCCAATGGTATGTCCTTTCTGATATTTTCTTAACAAAAGTTAACAGTGGCTATTTTTCATTTCATTTTTGTCTGTTAATTGATATTTATGAAGAAACAAATCCAAGTTTATGATAGTCTGCTGATACTAGTCTAATGAGTACAAATCTGCCCTGGTTTCCTGCCACAGAAACAGTGATGTTTCTGTATCACTGTTCTTATTTTACAAGATGTGAAATTATAGGGACTGGGGAGATGGCTCAGTGGAATAAGCACTTCCCTGGCAATTGCAAGGGCCTGAGTTCAATTCCCGGTTCAAAAAAAAAAAAAAAAAAAAAAAAAATTATAAATGGGTTGCTTTCTTCTTTGAAAGTTTGTTGGTAGTGTATAAAGTGTGTTGAATATTTCTATGTTGAATTTTTATCATACAATTTTACTGAATTTACTTATGAGTCCTAAAGGGAGTTATGGTGGAATTGTCACTGTTTTCTCTGTCTAAAGTCACACTGTCTGAGAGTAAGGGCAGCTGACCTTCTTTCCTTCCACACTGGATAACCATTGTCTTCCCACCTCCCTAGTTCCTTACGCTAGAACTTCCTCTTCCATAATGAATAGGAGTACTTAAAATGGGCCTTTGTGCAAGTTAAAAAATAAAATTATAAAACTCATCTACCAGCAATGAAATATCAATTTTTTTCAGGAAATGCATCTTTTTTTTTTTTTTTTTTTTTTTTTTCAGAACTGGGGATTGAACTCAGGCCCTTGTGCTTGCCAGGGAAGCACTTATTCTACTGAGCCATCTCCCCGGCCCTAGGAAATGCATCTTTGTACCTTCATTTAGAAGGACTATATTTCCTTATTTGGAACTCTCAGCTTACAGATTCTTTTCTTGTGTATACATATGTCTAGTCATTCTGGCTTGTTTGTGTCAGATGAGCAGTTAGCCATTAACCATTTTGATACATTATTTTTATTATTATTATTATTATTATTATTATTATTATTATTTTTAATACTGGGGATTGAACTCAGGACCCTGAGCTCGCCAGGTAGGCACTTAGTCTATTGACTATCTCCCCAGCCTTTGATACCTTTTCTTTTGTGATGGTTGTTTTTTCTCCTAGTCTTTTACCACATTCCCATTTTTTCCTTTGTTTCTGTTTGTCTTGGTGGGTTATATTTTGCATTGACGTATGGCCGATGCAGCCAGGGTTTCCCACACTCACAGGAGCCTCTGACCAAAGGTACCTCCAACCCTTTTTCTCTGACTTTCATTGCCAGAATGCTGTCTGTGCTGTATTGTACTCATTTTGTTTCTATAATTGCATTCATTGAGCCTCAGTCATATGGAGCTTCTTAATCATTTCAATCTTTTGATTTCTTTTATTTTGTTTTGTTTTTCACACTGAGTTCCATATCCAGAACTCCTCATTGTTTATTTTGAGGTACAGTTCCTAAATGAGTCCCTAAATGACATAGCTGGGGTTGAACTTATGATCTTCCTGCCTCAGTCTTCTTCTGTGCTCATGTTACACACATGACCCAACAAACATGGGGTTTTTCTTTTCTCTAGTTGCAATTTTTCTACCTGGAATCAAACACTCAACCTATGCTTGCTGGGTTGTACCCTTGCACTATGTCCCCAGGCAAAATGTTTCTTTCTTAAGCCCTATGGCCTTTCATTCCATAGTCAGCACCGTACCACCAAGCTGTAGACCTCTGTTCCTGACTGAAAATTTCCGTTAGAGACATCTTCATGCTCAGTGAACCTTTCCTCAACTATCTTACTCTGCTGTTAATCCCATCTAATAAGACTGGATATGGTGGTATGTATCTGTAATCCCAGTTCTTGGGAGGCTGTGAACAGGTAGATCACTACAAGTCCAATCTAGTAGTGAGACCCTGAACACCCTATAGACCCTTCCCTAATAAATAAAAAAGAAAAAAAATCTTGTCTAATAATATTTTGGTTTTGTTATTTTACTTGAACTTGTGAAAATTTTTATTTTTAAATATCTCTTTACTGCAAAATCTCTACTTTGAATTATTGATTTCATGCTTTATTTCCTCTAGCATAGTGGTCCTTAGATTTCTAACCTACCTAGAATAGGGTTGGAAGTTTTGTCTCTGAAATCTGACGCCTAAGGTCATTTGGAGTTATTTTCAATTTTTTCCTTTCATACTTTTCCCCTGAATATAGATCATACATTTTTTCCTTGTATTTCTTGAAGTTTTAATAGTTTTTTATTACATTAATAATATATAATATTAAATACAATAACATTGTGCCATTTCTGCTTTTTTATCCTTCTATCTACTAGAAGACTATTTTTCCTTTTCTTTTTTTTAAATTTTTTTTTATTTTTCCTTTTCTATGTGGTTATTTCCCTATAGTTACTGATGTCTCTGTTGAGTTTAGAGACAAAAAAAATTCCCATTTTTTAGGGTGGCATGCTACATTTCTATTGACTGTCAGCGCATCTCTAGCTGACCACTCCCCATACAGAGGCTGTATCTCATTCAGAGTAGGTTTTCTTCCATCCACCTGGAGGACATAAGGGCAGGGAAGTCCTTTGTGAGTTTCTGCCATTTTCAGGCTGGCTGCACGTCATGTGAGGGGTGCTGTGCACCTCTTCTGCGGCTACTTGTGCATCTTTAGCGCGTCCAGAAGTGGGTAGCTCCTAATCCTTGCTTAGTGATTCTGAAAAGTTCCTGTGTTTGGAGCAACAACACAGGTGGATTTCAGGTGGTTCTCGGAGCTAACTGAGCAGACAGCATACAAGCTGGATCCCTTTTGGTAAACTTTAGAGGAAAAGTTTTTATTTCTGCAAGTATTGTCTCACGAGTCATATTTTCTTCATTTGGAAAACGTGAACTGGAAGATGTAGAGTCCATCCTAAACATAACTGTGAGCCATAAAAGTCACCAGTTGCTGTAGCTATAACTTCCTATGAAAGACTCTTTATAACTCTGAACGTAATTAGTTTGGTTTATATTTTTTGCAATATTGTGTATTATTATAAAATACAAAGTTCTGTATGTGTTTGTGTATGTGAACACAGCTCTTGACTTATTCTTGCTGAAAGTTTTATATGGAGGAGGAGTTCTGGAGTGAAGCATACTGAATGCATCACCATTTTTCTCTGCTAGCAAACTATATGCACAATGATATAATGAATAAGTAGCTAAAAAGCATGAAGGATATGGGCTAAGCAGGGCGAATGGAACCTAAAATTCAGAATGACTTACAAATTTTACAACATTCATTAGGAGTTAGAAGGTATGATGTTTGATACTGAGTATTGCACATCTTATCATTTATCCTCAAGGTTTCTTGAAATTGAATGAATTAAGCTCCATTTAACTGAAAAAGCTTAGTATGAATAGAATTTGTTGACATATGAAATGAGAAGCGGTACTTGTTAAAATAATGGCTTGCCACTTCAGCAAAAACCCTGCATGATTTTCTGGACATATTATTTTTCTTTGATGCAACAAGACCTATTCATACCTCAAAAATAATAGTGAATCTAGGGGCTGGGGAGATGGCTCAGTAGAATAAGCACTTCCTTGGCAAGTGCAAGGGCCTGAGTTCAATCCCCGGTTCCGCCAAAAAAAATCAGTTAAAAAAAATAATAGTGAATCTTAATAGACATCTGTCAAATAATCAATACAACCTTGCATCATTTGAATAATCCCTCTGGTAGAATGGGATGGGAAGATTGAGTCTTATCTCCATTCTCATCATAATAGGACTTCTGCAAATGATAGAACTTTTTTATGTATTTGGTTGTTACAGGGTCTCATAACGCAGATCTGAGTCATAGAGCTCCTCCTGTTTTTAGCCTGCCCAGTGCTGGGATTACAAGTGTACACCACTATGTCCGCCTGGACTGTGGGTCTGGCTCAGTGCACTGTGGGGGAGGGGATAATGAGAGAACTCTGTAAGCAAGAAAAGTCCATTATTTATTTACTTACATTTGCTTCTTTCTCTACAGGGCATGAAGGACACCATGGAAAGGTATATTTGTGATGACATTTGTGTGTGAGACAATAGTGTTATATACACTCCTTGTCGCTGCTCAGGGTTGGGTTATTTTAGTACCACTGAGAAGAGAGCAGCACGACTCAAATGGTCTGGAAGGTGCTGGTGTTGTTTGGAGTCTGTGCAGGAAAAATGGTAGTGTCAAGGATGTGAGCTGAGCCTCTGCATGTTATTCAGAAGAAACCTCCACCTAGCTCCAGTGTTGGATTCACTAGGTGCTTGTTTTATTGTAGATGGAACACATGTTCTTACCAAGTAGCAGAAATTGTCCATTGCAATAAACCCTGAATATAGCAATTTATATTTTTGGACTGGAAATGATAGACATCATGCTTCAAATCACACTTGAGCCTGTTGAACCGAACTGAGCCCCAAGTGCAGGCAGTTAGTTGGTGCAGCTTAGCCACCCTATTCAGCAGCACTGGGAAAAGCCTCATTCTGCTGTGTACAATTGCATGCCTGCTGGCAGCATGGAGCTTTTCCAAACCCCTGGGGTTCACAGCAGTATGAGTTTGGTGTTCATTTGCCAACTATTTGTCATCTTTCCCAGAGAAAAACAAAATCTTGAAACCTCAGGAAGTATCTGAGGACCTTTCTATAGACATTGACCTGTAAACTTCTTGGGCTACTCCAGATGGGGCTCCTCCTACCTTGATAAGCCCACGCCCTTCAGAGCTGGATGCTACACGTGCACTGATTGACCCCATTCTCATGCCCCACACTCATGGCAGGAACTCTTCCACACATTATGATGTTTTGATTTTAGGTGAGTGTCATGGGTTCTTTTAAAATTCTTCAGCATGGAAAACTCTGCTTATGACCAGTTAAGATCCTCCAAAGATCACCCCAATTGGTTGAGATGGCAGATATGCCTCTCATGACTTCTGGATTAATAGTTTCATTTATCCCTTCCGTGGATGGCCAGGGAGGAGAGTTCAAGTGTAAAAATGGGATAAAATAGTAGATGTGGGTGGTGTTTGAAAGACACAACTAATACCCATCTCTGACAAAACTAAAAAAAAAAAGGACATATAGATGAAGGACAATGTTGTATCTGCAAAATAGTTAAGAGAGTTATATAGCCACTTTCTCTTAATTCAATAAGAAGAAAGATTTGTATTACTAGTGTTTGGACAGGATATCAGGTCTGCTTCTTGAGCTATGAATGACTACCACAAAGACAACAATTAATATGCAATGTATTAATTGTTGTAACTCTCCTACCAACGTGTTTTGACCGGTCTCATTGAAGTTTTTTCTCAATAAAATTAATAATAATAATAATAATAATAATAATAATAATAATAATAAAAGAAATGCACAACTATGAGATATGGAATTGACTTTTTTTTCTCCCTAGGAGTAAGTCAGTCATTGTGCAGGAACCAAGAACTTGCCCCAAGCGACAGAAGATGGTGTTCCAAGCTCCTGATCTGAAAGGGATTCTCCAACTGCATCAAGGTGAGTGGAGCATACGGGGTGGGATGATCCAGGCCTGCCTGGAACTGAAGCTACTCTGGAGCCTGAGGCAGAAAGACTGCAAGTTGAATTGCAGCCTGAGCAGCTTAGTAAATTAGGGAGACTGGCTCAAAGTCAGGTTTCAGAGAGCTGGAAATATGCTCCTTTGAGGAGAACCAATCTAGTATACGTAGGACTGGGTTCAATCACTAATAGCAGCCAAATGGAAGGAGGGCGTAGTGAACAGAGTGAGGTGAAGGGTGTGACTGAGGACTGTGGAGAGTGCAGCGGGGCACTGGGGAAGAGAGAGCAGAGTGTGCTGTGGATGGAGGAGAGGAGGGAAAGTGAGTATCTGCTGGGCCTCTGACTGTATTGTTGGGGAGCAACCACTCATCTCTATTCACCAATTCACTGGTCAATCGCGCTTCCTTTACTTCCCTAGTCTAGAGAGGAAATGGATGTTGGTGTGATTCCTTTGGCTGTATTTAGTATGATGAGTTTTTGCCCGTTAAACTTTTTTTTTTTTAATTATTTTATTTTTTAAATTTTATTTATTTGTGTGTGTGTGTGTGTGTGTGTGTGGCCAGCTCAGCCCACCAGGGGGCGGGCTGGCTGGCATGTGGCGCTGGGGGATTGAACCGCGGTCCCTGATGCTTTTGCTAAGCTTGTTCTAAGTAGGTGCTTTAGACCACTGAGCCATCTCACCAGCCCGCCCGTTAAACTTAATGGCTGTCCAATACTACTGGGTTAAAGAAAAATTAGTTTCATAAGCCTCTCTCTCTTCCATATATTTAAAACCTTATTTCTCCTGTTTTGAAATCTATGCTTCTCCTTCCCTCATACATGCACCATTTCTTTCTTTATTATTTTTTCTTTCTTTCTTTCTTTCTTTCTTTCTTTCTTTCTTTCTTTCTTTCTTTCTTTCTTTCTTCTTTCTTTCTTTCTTCTTTCTTACTTCTCTCTTTCTTTCTTTTTTTTTGTGGTAAGAGGGATCAAACAAAGGACCTTGAACTTGCCAGGCAAGCACTTACTCCACTGAGCTGTCTCCCCAGAACCACCATCTGTTGCCCCAAATGCACTAATCTCCTTAAGACTCCTCAAAGAAGTTCTTCCCAGTCCTATTTCAATAGTCTTCCCAGAATCCTCTGGAAACTTCACACATGGTGTTTCACATTACCCTCACCTTCCTTGTAATTTTTCCACAGCTTCTGTGAAACTTTCTGCAAGCAACGATCACAATTTTGTCATAATTGCAAATATTTGTCAGAATCAGAAATTGCAGCTTAAAAAAATCCAGGAAAGGCTTTCAGGAAAGCCTTTCTGAAAGAAAAGGCCACTGAAATCAGGTGATGGAACATACTTAAAATCCCCCTTAAACTTCAGTGTTTCAAGTTATCCACCTAAATGTGGCTACTGGGTCGGACGGCTGGAGGAGAAATTTAAGCACAGTGCATTTGCGGTGTCTGACAGCTCTGATCCTTGGACCCTGGCCTCTTCTCTGGCTGTTCCTCCAGCTCCTGTTGGAGATTTTCTGGACTCCGAGCCTCATATGCTGCATTCTACAGTGTGGCACACCGTGGATTTCTCATCTGTGAGTTCTCT